TTCCCTCCTTCCTTCCTTCCCTCCTTCCTTCCTTCCTTCCCTCTTTCCCTCCTTCCTTCCCTCCTTCCTTCCTTCCCTCCTTCCTTCCTTCCCTCCTTCCTTTCTTCCTTCCTTTCCTTCCTTCCCCCCTCCCTCCCTTCCCCCCTCCCTCCCTCCCTCTCTCTCTCTTTCTTTCTCCCAGTCTAGCATTATAGCAAGAATTACTCAGATCATGAGTTTTTTTTTTAATTAGAGGAACTATGGACTCAAAAATTCAATTTTCTATCAATCAAACTAATCAATAAGTATTTGTTAAGCATCTACTATGTGCCAGGCATTGTGCTAGGAGCTGGGGATATAAGTATAAAGAATGAAACAATCCCTACCCACAAGGAGTTTCCATTCTAATGGAAGAGACAACAAGTATATCATAGATATACATATATACAGACACACACACAGCATAAACTAACATTTAATAAGTACAAGTATATATATATGTTTATGTGTATACACACATATATGTTAAATACAAGTTAGTTTGGAAAGGAAGAAACCACCAGTTGGGAGGGATCAGGAAAGGCTTCATATGGAAGATGGTACTTTAGTTTCATTTTAAGAGAAGAGGGGGACTCTGGGTCAGAAGAAAGGAAGGAGTGGATTTTAGGCATAGGGGATGGTCAGCAAAAAGGTGCATAAACTGGAGATGGCATTGAGTGAGGAGCAGAGAGAAGAACAGTGAATGAATTACAGAATGTAGGAGGAGGAGTAATATCCAATGCACTGAAATGATAATTAGGGTCAGGTCATACAGGGCTTTAAAAGCTAAAGTGAGCAGTTCCTATTTGATCCTAGAGGTAATAGGAAGCCACTAGAGTTGACTGAGTAGAGGAGTCCTTTCATCAGATCTGTACTTACGGACAATTTTCTATTTTCTTTCATATGCTTCAAGGAATCTATGATTTTGTCATTGTGGGCACTCCTTCCACTAATGCAAATTGAACTATCTGGGACTTAGGATACAATTTTATGAATTGCTGTGGTCCCCAAAATGTATTCCTGGTGCGGGGTAGGGGGAGAGAGGGAAACGACAATATTCTGCTTATGAATTTCTCTGAACTGAGCGAGGCTGGTTCATGAGTCGCAGAGACAGTTCATGCGTGGAAGCCTTTTTATCATCGTGGATCCTCTCAGAACTTGTGTTCTCCTCACATAACCTTGGAGAACACAGGGTCACTTGCCCACTATGATAGTGGTAGAAGGTAGTGGTAGAAAAATTCTTTAACAGAGGGCATTTAAGAAATATCTTTCATAATGACATCAACAAAACAACAAAATCCAGGAAAAATATTGAAAATGAATCTGCCGCACTGTAAAGAAAACTCAAAGTGTATGATCTTTTTAGACACACAAGAGACAGTTTTCTCTTGACAAATGTGAATCTAAGCTACTTTCCTTGCCCCCTCTCTCAACTAGCTTTCTGCAAAGCTTTAGCTTCAAAACCAAGCTGCGAATAACATTAGTTTAACTTGAAATCTAAAGCTGGCGTTGCTTTGCTCCATAGACAGGGACTCTCTGCCCTTTTGCTACCATGAAGCCAGTTACCAGAATTTTAATTTTATAAGCCATGGTTGACTAAACCCAGCTCCGGGCCTATTACATATTATTTGATTTGGAATAGAAGAAAGATTTAAAGATACCCTGTCCCTTCAGTACCTTTGTACTCGTGTACATGTCTACACATAGATTTCAACATGCCATTCAAACTACAAGTTCAGCTTTTGGTCCCTGGAATAAAATTGGCTACAATATTTCATGTAGCTTCACACTACATTCCTCAGTTAAGTCAGAGTGCTTTCTCAGGGAAGCTTACAAAAAAAAATCAAGAAACTAAAATTAGTAGCTTAAAAGGTGGAGAGTTTTTCTCATTCATGTTCTTACATTTTAATGCTAGATAACAGACATTAAGGCAGTTGCACAGCAGTAATCATGAGTAATTCAATTTATTTGAACAAACATTTATTAAGCATATAATGTACAGAGAGGGTAGTGTCGGTCAATGAGTAGCAGGCTGGCTTTGGAGTCACAGAGACTTGGGATCAGACCCTGCCTCTGATACACATTGACTAGGTGACTATGGGTAAGTCACTGAATCTTTCCGTGCCTCAGACAACTCCCTAACATGATGAATCACCTAAGAGTTGAAAAGCACTGGCTGTGAATCAGGGGACCTGAGCTAGAATCCTGACTTTTTTTTCCTGTGATAAAAGTCCCTTACTAATGGAGATCAGCAACTCAGGTGATTATCCATCTTAGAGTAGAACTTTATAAGTTTACAGTGGAACTACAAACAACGCATTGTTTGAGACTGGGGCAAGAAAAGATCATTTTGGGCAGGAGGTACAGGAATCAGGAACTAGGAAAGACTGAGGATGTAGCATTTGAATTGGGTCATGACAGGTGGTTAGAATTTCAACAATAAAAACAATTAGTGCAAATAGCTCAGGCATATTTGGTTAGGGGTTTTTAGCTGTTGTATACCCCTAAAACTTTCCTGAGGTCACACAGTCAAGGGCAGAATACAATAAGTTCTATATATATTAAATTACATTATTTATGGCCTATTTGCTTACACCAATTCATCATGTTGAAACTCACTCTCAACTTAAAATTTCCTCTTAGTAATCCCTGCCAAATGAAGAAAATTGTGAAATGGTCCTGAAAAACATATCCTGATGTGGAGGAACTGAAGCTTCGGTTACTGTTATTATGATGTGCACAAAGCGCAAACACCATAACTGTCTGCATTCATAGATTATTAAAATCAGCAAAATGCTAGAAGTGATTCTTGAGCCATGGCTCAGCCATTGATGGGTCGAGACTAATTTCTTCAAAGAAACAGACCATTTGTCCTTTGAAGGTGGAGGACTCTGGGTTTGACAGGGAAGGAAAAATGTATGTAGTAGAGAGGCATCTTGCTGAACCACTGCTGAGAATGAACAACCAAAGAGATGGGGCTATTGAACATGTCCCAGTAGCTTCTTGGGTCCACCTAGATTATAGATTCTAACTGGGATTTTCTTAGGCTCTAATAGCCAAGGAATAAATACAAGCTATGGCTGTAAAATCATGTTACTGATTTTAAAAATACTTCCTAGGACTTACTTATCCAATCGAATGTTGTCCCTTTCAAAACTGTTCCTCCAGGTGACTACACATTTGTGTCAGTCATGTTGTTGTTGTTGAGAATATTTCTGGAGCAATCCTCGGAAGAATTATACATTTTTTTTGTCATTTGAGAGTGGATTTAATTTTTTGAAATCAGTCAAAAGTCATTTGAGTTTTAATGAATAGGATAGTTGCTGAAGCTTGGAAACTTGTCTTTTTAAATTAAAAAAAAAAGGTGTGAGTACAAAGTCACGAGAATTATTTTCTTTCTATGTTCCTAAAAGCAATTCCAAAAGGTGATTTCCAGAAATGTTTTGGGAATGTCAGCATTGTTGCTTGTGTAGCTTTGTAGTACAAGTTACAAGGAAACATCTGATCTGCTGATAACATTATCCTTGTCATCCTCATTTTATTGCATTTATCTTTTTGTAGATAAATAAATGAGGGAAATACAAATAAATCAGCTGCTATTCTTCTTGTTTTTGGCATCATATTTGGAAGGTTCAGGCCCAAGACTCATCCAAAATTATTTAACATTTAACATTTTCATGATTATGAGGGAGAATTGCTTAGAAATGCTGGTGTTGGAACTCCTTTCACCAATGTAGATTGCAAATGTCTGTGACTTATTTTCCTCTCCTCACCTCTCCTCTTCTCCTCCTTCTCCTCCTCCTCTTCTTTTTTCTTCTCTTTCCCTCCCTCCTCTCTCTCCCTCTCTCCCTCCCTCCCGCTCTCTGTCTGTCTCTCTCTCTGTCTTTTGTGTACATATGGTATCCTCAGTAGAGTGTAAACTCCTTGAGAGAAGAGACATTTCATTTTTTGTCTTTTTGTCCTCAGCCCAGCTCAATGTTTAATAAATGCTTTCCCCTCCTCCCCCAAATGAATGAGTCAATATATCCTAGGATTGCCTGAGGCAGACAGAAGATAACTGACTTACCCAGGGTCATATAAGACACATCAGAGTCAGGATTTGAAATTAGGTCTTCCTGACTCCATGCACAAACACTCTCTCCATCATGCTGTGCTACCCCTGACATTTGCACATTCATATTTATAGCTCACTTTTTAAAAATAATGATTTATAGCTTAAAATTGGCTCCTCTCACAAGTATCTCTAACTCCTCTTAATTCCAGTACTTTCCTTCTTTTAATTATTTCCTAAAATAGCTTGCGTTGCATGTATTTGTTTGCATGTTGTCTCCCCCATTAGACTGTAAGCTCCTTGAGGGCAAAGAGTGTCTTTTGCCTCTTTTTGGGTCTCCAGCCTTAGCAAAGTGCCTGGCACACAGCAGGCACTTAATAGATATTTTGAATTGAATTAAGTTGAAAGAAGTGCACATTGCAAATATTATCTGCTTTATTTTTACAAATGAGGAAACTGAGGCTTAGACAAATTAAATGACAATCAGCATCACAGAACGAGTATCTGTTGGATATTCATTGGAAATGGGATACGACTGAAGTGGTTCCATTGATCTTTATACTATATCACAACCCTTAGTATTTTTTCCTTAAAAAACCTTAGGAATTACCCCTCAATTAGAAAACACAAGTATATGATATATAGATAGTATTTAGTTTCATGTTGTTAGATTGCCACAGTGGTGTAGATGAAAGAGTCCTGGCTTAAGAATCAGAAGACTCAGATTCTAATCCCAATGCTGGCTGTGAGATCTTGGGCAGGTGACTTTAACCCCTCTGGGCCTCAGTTTCTTCCTTTGTAAAATAAGTGATTTGGTCTAAATGATCTCTAAGGTTGTTTCTAGTTCTAATGGTTTATGTTTTGAATATATCCTTTGTTGGGCACTTGTAACATCTATTTAGCTTTCTCTTTATTTTCTTCCCCTTCAAAGGTATTCAGGAGTCTCCGGTACCAAATGGCCATTCCCTCCCAGGCAGAGATTTCCTTCGGAAACAGATGCGGGGAGACCTTTTCACCCAGCAGCAATTAGAAGTGTTGGATCGAGTCTTTGAGAGACAACATTATTCTGACATATTTACAACCACTGAGCCCATCAAACCAGAGCAGGTACTATAATTAATTCTCACTGAATTCATGCGCATTATTATTGTTATTTTAAAACGTACATCTATTCTCCACTGGTTGCCTATATACTCTGATTGGGAATTGTCAAGAAATTACTATTTAAGTTCTCATCAGTAGAAGATGGGGAAAAGTCTCAGAAAAGTGTTTTCTTTCTCAATAAAATGATGTCACTAAAAAAAAAAAGGAACTCCTTGTTTGTGGGGCATGCTCTCTTCTTCCATGTACTCAGTAGAGGAATTCCTCAGAACTCAGGACGTTGTCTCCACCGCTTCCCCTCTGTGAGTTTCTAGTGCTAATGAAAGGGAGTGACTGATTTTGCTTCTTGAGTTCTTTTGAGATATTTGTTGAGCAGGCTCATTCTGTCTGTGTTGCTGGTGATGAGGAGGTAAAGCTATCCTGGACAGTTACGGTACGGGCTATTCTTTTTATGTGCCACATCTTGAGCATCAGAATCCAAGGGTTCAGTTTCTCAGACCCCTACCCGAATTGATTGCAGAAGATTCAAGTGGATGACTTAATCCTCTTTGTGAGAGCACTAGAAGGGTATTAAGCCAAGCTCTTCTCATTAGTTAGGCTAAATGACCTTTCTGAGTGGTGTTTTTCACAAGAAGTGGCTTGAAGGGGTGGATAGAATAGGAATGTAAAGATGCTTTTGGTTTACCTGAGAGGATTTCTGGGGTCTGGACAAGGATGAGGGACATATTTGCTTATTAGATGAAAACTATTGCTAAATATACAACAATACCTAACATTTGTAACATTTCACAGTTTTCAAAGTGTTTTTGTATCTAGTATCTCCTGTGATACTTACAATAATCTTGTAAGGCAGTCAGTTATTCAGTAAGCATTTATTAAGGACCTACTATGTGCCAGGCACCGTGCTAAATACTGGGGATACAAAGAAATGGAAAAGACAGTTCTGGCTCTCAAGCATCTCACAGTCTAATGGGGGAGACAACATTTAAACAACTATGTGTAAATATGACACAGAAAAGATAGATTGAAAGGATTCAACATAGGAAAGGCACTAATGTTAAATGGGATTGGGAAAAGGCTTCTTGTAGAAGGTGGGATTTTAGCTGGAACATGAAGGAAGCCAGTAGGGAGAGATGAAGAGGGAGAGAATTTCTGGCATAGGGGACAGCCAGTGAAAATGCCCAGAGTCAGGAGATGTCTTATTGGAACAACAAGAAGGCCAGTGTCACTGGGTCACAGAACATGTAGACCAGAGTAAAATGTGAGAAGACTAGAAAGGAAGGAGGGGGCCAGGTGACAAGGGGCATTGAATGTCATACAAAGGAGTTTATATTTGATCCTGCAGGTGATAGGAATAGAGTTTATTGAAGGGGAGGGAGTGACACAGTCAGACCACAAATTTAAGAAGATCAATTTGACAGTTGAGTGGAGGATGGATTGTAGTGGGGAGAGACTTGTGGCAGGCAGAACAATTAGTAGGCTATTACAATAGTCCAGGAGTGAGGTGATGAGGGTCTGTACCAAGGAGAAGTGGCAGATCAGCAATTATTTTCCTATTCAGAGTTGAGAAAGATGAGGCTCAGGTGGGTTGTTAAATTGCTTAACAAAAGTCATACGGCTAGTTGGCAGCATGATTAGGACTAGATCTCAGATTTTCCAGCTCCAACCTAGTACAGTACCCTTCCCTCTATACTACACACTTAATATTGAATAATGATAGCAATGCCATGTACTTGGCTAGTGTTTACCTTTTCATAGTGCTTTCATTTCTATTGTTGCCTGGTAATTTCTAACCTTATAGTTCAACTTGCAGCAAAAACCAATTGGAAAATGTCATCTATGAATCAAAATGGAGATGGGGCCATATCCCTCTCTAGTGAAACCAAATAGAAGTTAAAAATAAGATACAAGTGGCCCACATTATAGAGGAAGGTACAGAACAAAAGAGAAACTAGTGACAATGTAGTCTCTGATCTACACAGTTCAAGGATCCATGACATATGGCAGTTCCTTCCACTGTGGCTGATCACAGTTTCTCCTAGCCTTAGGAAATAGATCATCAAGTTGCTGGCCAAAAACTTTCATTATGGTGCGGCCAATATACATACCTAAATTTTGTAATATTTTATACTTAACTTTCTGGCGGCAAGGTTGTCCTGAGCTAGGCTGGTTCTGAGACATATGTGATCACCAGATCCATGTTTGAAACCTTTCCAACTTGGTAGCATCTATTGGAGTTGCAGTTTTACTGGTATAGCCTTTGAGGACACAAGGTCCCCTCTGTGTCGCCATCAGCATTGATTATGCACTTTTGTGGAAGAAGCTATAAGCTACAAGAAATGAAATAGACAGAAAACTGTAATAGTGCCACCTGATGTAACACAGTAAGTGCAGAGAGGAATCGCTTCAGTGAAATACCTATTTCATCAGGCCTGGTGTCTATCATGGAACCTAAAGGACCCATACAAGGAATTTAACAATGATCTACACTGGGGCTAGGGCACCTGCAGTCTCGAGGCCACATGTGGCACTCTAGGTCGTCCAGTGCGTCCCTTCGCAGAAGTTTGGATTAAGTCAAAGGGCTGCACTTGAGGACCTAGAGAGCCACATGTGGCCTTGAGGCTGCAGGTTCCCCACCCCTGATCCCCTCCCACACATGTCATAGGTTCTCAGGAAATAGCTTCAGTTTCTATCACTGAGAGACTGTTTGCTTAAGGAAAAGATATCCTTTGCCCTAATTAAGGGTTCATCAGTAGTAAGCTATGTATTTTGTTCTAACTATTCCCATCTTTTCTTTTGGTTTCCATATCTGTTGGGTAATCCCAGTGTCTGGCCAAAAGCAGATCTCAGATTGTCCTGGATTGGCCAGTCTCCTTCATGTCACTTCTGACTCCCCTTGCAGGGTTTTCAGAATTAAAATCCTGGCTTTAATTTCATTGCAATTTAGAGAGTGAGAAGAGAGGGGATGTCTATCGTTCCTAATTTTGGTGAGGAGGGTGATTTTAATACATTATGCCAGGGAAACAGCCTTTCACAGTGCGATAACTATCTTGAGCTTCCAGAGGGCTTTGGTTCATTAGTCTTATATTAAAGTGTAGATTGTTTCATCTGCAAAGTGAGCTCTTTAGAGATAAAGAAATCACAGATTTTATGAATTACCATTTCTCTGTCTGTCTTCTCCATAGTCACTCATATTCCCATCTATATGAGAATGTAACAGATATGAGGCTGAAAGTTGGTGTTTGAGTCCATTTGGAGGCAGCTAGGTGGCCTGGTGGATAGGGTCTGGTTTTAGTGTCAGGAAGACCAGAATTTAAATCCTGCCTCAGACACTTATGGGCTGTGTGACTCTGGGTGAGTCACTTAACTGCTGTTTGCCTCAGTTTCCTTGTCTGTAAAAAAGGGATAATAATAGCACTTATTTTGCAGGGTTGCTGTGAGAATCAACTGAGATAACGTATGTAAGGGATTTTGTAATCCTTCAAGTCCTGTATAAATAATAGCTATTAATATAGCTATTATTATTTGAAAGGTGCCACATTCTTACTGGGCTAATTGGACCTACTTGTACCAATCTATATGCTATAATAATAATAATTTGTGTTAGCTTTAGGTCTGTCATTGAGAGGTGGTGTGTCATAGTGGATGGCTAGCTGGTCTTGGAGTCAAGAAGATTTGCATTCAAATCTTGCCTCTAACATATAGTATGAGGCCATGGACAAGTCACTTAACCTCACAGTGCCCTAGGCAACTCTCTAAAACTGTAACTAAAAGAGGAGTTACATTGGTGGAGGGACTTTCCATACTAGCGGGTTCCTGTTCCAATGTAATTACATATCCGGACCAAAAAATATATGGATATAAATTTAAGAATATGTAAAATAATAACGTGCTTTTAAAAAATAAATTTTTACCTGATATTGGGAATGTTTAGTCTTCAGAGGAAAAGCTTTAGGTGGGACATGGTAACTGTGTACAAATATGTAGAAATGAGGATTTGCTTTCTTAGTGGCTGCAGAGAACACAACTAGGAATGGTGGGAAAATATCAGGGGACAAATTTTAACTGGATGTTAGGATTAGATCAGAGCTGTTCAAAACTGCAATGGTGTTCCTCCAAAGATCATGAGTGACCTGCTCCTGGAGGTTTTCCAGCAAAGGTGAGATGGCTACTTTTTGGAGATGTCATGGAACGGGTTGATGTTCAGGGACCTGAACTTGATCACTTTTTTTTTTTCAGATAATTGGGGTTAAGTGACTGCCTAGGGTCACACAGCTAATAAGTGTCTGATCTGAGACTGGATTTGAACTCAGATCCTCCTGACTCCAGGGCCGGTGCTCTATCCACTGTGCCACCTATTTGCCCCTTGATCGCTTCTAATTATCCTTCCAACTCTTTGATTCTGTGATTTAGTGGAAGAATTTTCATATAGACTGCCTCACTTCCTGCTCATCACATCCCTATGAAATAGGGCAAATGCTGTTAGTTCCATTTTACAATTGGGGAAATGGAGGAACCAGGTGATTTAATTTATCTCAGCAAAAGATTGGATTTAGAATCCAAGTATCTTGACTTCTATTCCATTAGGATTTTTTTTTCTCCCTTCTCTATAGTACCTGGGGGCAGTTAGATGGCATAGTGGGTAGAATGCTGGACCTGGAGTCAGGAAGACTTATCTTTGTGAGTTCAAATTTGGCCTTCAGACTCTTACTAGCTGTGACCCTAGGCAAGTCACTTAACTCGGTTTGCCTCAGTTTCCTCATCTATAAAATAAACTGGAGAAGGAAATGGCAAACCAGTTCAGTATGTCTGCCAAGAAACCCCAAACAGGATCACAGAAATTTGGATACAACTGAAAAATTACTTGACAACAAAAATAGTACTTATTCCTTTCCGAGAGCAGGTATAAATTGTGAGGAGCTTCCTTGGTTGGCCTACTAGAATCAAGAGGCCAGTCAGTACGAGGAGGGAGGATCTTTGCAGTGCAGCATACAGAGAGGGAGAGC